CATTCAATGTCGAAAACTTATAGAGCTATTTATTTTGAGGATTTATTTACCGCTACAAGTTTTTCATAAAAATAGTTTATTATATAAAATAACTTCGGGGTTAAGAAAAACCAACTAACCGTTCAATAGGATATTTTTGAAATCCTCGATTACCTAAAGTACTGCAGTGAACAAGAACATGAGTGGGGAACCATAGAGTGTACTCGAACACGCTATTAAAGAACATCTCACTAAAATCTGAGAATCATGCAGTAAATAGGTAACTTGCAACACATCAATCAACTGTCTCAATCTTGACTGTTCCTTTTGCAAATATCAGTCCATAGTCTCAGATTTCATTGTTCCTGCATTTTCATAGCAATTGCTTTCCGTCCCTGTTCTTTCCTTCACAATCTTCTACTGAAATACATACATACTACTTATGTAGATATAAGTAGCTCACATCATAGTACCGAAAGTGCCTACCACTGAAAAGCTACAGACCGGAAAGGATTGACTAATAGATGTATTGTCAGACTTGTTTAAACTTTTCAATCTCATATTTCCATTTAATTTACGATAATAATAATTGTTACTTCAATCATAAACTTCATAAGCCTTATGTCGAATGACTCTGAATATATTAAGAAGTAGCTATTAAATACACAGAAGAATGTGTTTTGATGTAAGAGTTATTGGAGTCGGTACAGTAAAGCGTTTTTGTAAGTGCAAAAAAACTTAAGGGATCAATAAAATGACCTTCAGAGAGTTTGGGCTGTTTTTCATGGTTCTAAATAATGATCATATCAATGACTGCTTTATAATTAGAATGGAGTAGATTACAAAGCATATACTGCTTTTAAACTAGAGACAGATTTTTCTGGATCATTTGTTGGTTTTGTCGTTTCGATTATTCTTAACTAGTCCATCCATATGACTATGATTCATTTCTTCTTAGGAGATTTTATATGGTCGTTATTAGTTTCATAAACAACCACAAATGACGTTTACTTTGTCGGTTTGGATTCTTGTTGTTACTAATAAGATTTCGGAGTGGATCAATCATCAATACTCAATTAACTGTACAGTATATTATCCCTACTCTTGATCCCTATCATCCAATCCATGACAAAGTGGATTACTTATTTGAATGAATAAAAGTCACTCAATTCTACTTTCTTTCAATGGCTGATGCACATTGCTATGAGACACAATTTCCTCTAGTACTTTTGTGCGATTCCTTGTAGCTATTTCGCAACCACAATCTCAGATAAGTGGATTTCCTGATGATGCCTAGTTTAACTTATTTTCTTTACTTAAATTATTAATGTTACAGACGACGATCATTATCTTTGTTTGATAATATCCGAAGGAACTTTGAAGAGGCATTATTCATTGTTATTGGTTAGTTCCTGTAGTTAAAATCAACCGTATGAATGACTGAGACAAAATTAAAAACTAGTTCATTAGTTTAAGCATATCTTTAATCGGTTTCATGAACACTGATAACCATTTACTATCTTTCATTTGTTCGACTCTTAACAACTACCTGATTACAGTGATAAACCACAAGATTTTTATAGAGCAACTTAGCAAGTATTTTAAGTGAAGAGTACTGACCACAAAGATCAGAATTAAAGCAACCATTAGACTAACCATTAATTAGTTACAGCCAACTAAATTAGTTACTGAACTACCCAGTTTCTTTTTTTCAAATAACTCAACATACTATCAACATCAATAGGTAATGAGTTTATGTGCAAATAATATTTCAAAAATGTCTAAGATCAACTATTGATGCAAACTATGAAATTTAATAACCTCATATAGTGATAAACTTTTCTCATTAGTGAATGATATTGTGGTGTAAGCCACTTATATCCACATAAGTAGTATATAACGATAGTCAGGAATAGAATGTATTTCAGTAGAAAATGGAGAAGGAAAGAATGGGATTAGACTATTCCGGCGGGGTTGCGTTGGCTGTACCAGGTGATGTCAACAGGGAGGAGCAGTGGGACCTGCGGCTGCTGGGCGGACATCGAATGTAGATGGCTCAGCAAGTCACTGGAGCTCAGGCGTTTAGCATCCGAGGGACCGAGTGGATTTCGGATGTTGGTGCCTTGGCAAGTCGATGGGATATTGAGGTCAGCGCCCCTCAGACTTGACATTTTGACGAAGAGTGTAGCACAGAATGCAGAAAAGAAGAAAGTGGTACGGTGAGCAGAACCACCGCAAGAACGACTGCTTTAAAATGGGGGACGAGTGTGGTGTGAGATACCTATATTTACATAGGTAGTATATAACGATAGTCAAGAATAGAATGTATTTCAGTAGAAGATTGTGAAGGAAAGAACAGGAACGGAAAGCAATTGCTATGAAAATGCAGGAACAATGAAATCTGAGACTATGGACTGATATTTGCAAAAGGAACAGTCAAGATTGAGACAGTTGATTGATGTGTTGCAAGTTACCTATTTACTGCATGATTCTCAGATTTTAGTGAGATGTTCTTTAATAGTGTGTTTGAGTGCATTCGATGATCGCCATTCGTGTTTTCGTTCACTACTATATGATTAGATGAATAGCTAAAATATGTTCATTACTGATCAGTTGTATCATTTCAGAGGTTTAGTCGATTAGCTGAATGATCTTTTATTTGATTGGATGAATTGAAAATCTTTGTTTAATTCATTGCTTAGAAATGTCAAACTTGGATGAAACGGTTACCTAGAATTTTCAAGTTTCTAAGGGTTAGACTTATAAATTCAATAAATTGTTCATAAAAGTTTATAATAAAATTCTTCTTTTTATGACACAAGTTATTAATTCTCACTTCTAATCTGATCTGAGAGCATCACTTATCGTCTCTTTTTCTCGTATTTATTACTCTTTTCATTATTCTTATTGTAGAGAACACTTCTGGTGTTATGATATAAAGTATGTATACTAATTTTTAAAGATTATTACTATTATGTTTAAGTGCCCCCAAATGCCATGGTAAGGCCGAGAGTGCTCTCACAGGGCCTTGTGCATACAACCACTGCCAAAGAAGTCCTATTCACTGTCTTCTAGCAGCATTACTGTTGTTTAAGAAGTCAAGAGGATGAAAAGTGAATGTCTGGCACTTTAACCAGTTCGGTGTATATGGATGATCCACCTAGAGGAGTTGGAAAACCCTGATTCCAAACCAATGGTGTACATGGGCTCCAGGATCCTGAGGGAAAAAATGGCGTATGAACCTATTGTTGGTCACCAACTGCCATGGGAATGCATCTCCAAACGTTGCTGCACTGCATTGTGGATCAGAACTTTTGGTCGAAGGCTCCAGGTGTGGCCCCCTAAGAAAACCACTTGCTTCGGTCTGGGCACCCGGGCAGTATCTCAGCCCTCAAATAAATCGAATGTTTTTTTGTGGTACATATGTATTTGATGCCTTCTTGTACCAATATTTATGTGTTCAAATAAATAAATAAATTATGTTTAGGTTCTAAGCGGTTGACGAAAAACTGCGAAGTTGAGTGAATTCATATTATTTTACTAGATGAATGTTCTTGCTTAAGTCAAATTCAACTGAATTGCAAATAAAGTTATATTTATCTAATCAATTTCATGTACACCGACAAGCTATTACGCTTATTATGTAACATATATTTGTATATACATTTTTCCAATATCGATCCACTAGGGCACTACAGTTATGTTTTTTAATGTGTTTATATCCAATGTTTCTGAAAAAGAAATACAATACTATAGTTATTAGAGAAGTTACCTTTTGTTACGTCGTGCCATAATTCTATGTCAATAATCAAAAAATCTATTTTAGCTACATCATGGGGTCTATCGTGAGCTGCTGCAAATGATCTAGTGGTTTCAAAGCTTCTTTTTTGACTAATCAAGAGATGAAGCATAGTTCTGAGATGGTTGAGATTTGTAACTCAGGTGGATGACTTTGATGAAATTTTGTTCTCTGACCTAGATGGTTTGGTTGTAGAGCTTTCATCGTTCTTGTGAACGACAACATCAGCGCAAACTTCAATAGAAGTAAAGTGTTCGAATTTCTCCACATGTGGTTCACAGTTTGTCTTGTAGACCTCAAACACGTCAATTCTACCTGAAGTTTGTGCTGATGATGTCGTTCAGAAGAACGATGAAGGCTCCACAACCAAATCATCCAGCTCAGAGAACGAAACTCCATTATAGTCATAGTTCGTTCTCAAATTAATAAAGCCTATAAGATTATAACTATGTTAGAAAGCCCAGTAGATTTTGATGTTCTAACATCAGTTTTCCTACAGTGATGTCGTTGAAGTGTCTCTACAAAATCCCATTTACCATTAACCTGAATTCTTTTTTATTATGATCATATACAGCCTCATAGACAATTTCTAATGACTTGCAAGATCTTTGTTAAGAAATTCCCAGAAAGAATCAACGAGATAAAGTTTTGGAATAATGATATGAGAAAATCATTTGTAGTAATTGTGATCCATTTTAACATCACTAAGATGTTACATTGTCTAATTTGTAACACGTTTTTATCACGATGATTCATTCTGAATAAAGAACACTGATTTATGTAAGTATACTTCTTTTTTAATTTTAATACTGACATTTCCCCTTTGTGATGACACAAAGGTATGTTTACTACGAAGCGATGACCAGTGGAGTTCAACCGGGTCTGTTGTGAGATAGTAACTTACTGATCACAATGATGGATGTGACACTCAATTTCATGGATTAGTTGATGTTAGACATTAACACCACTGGGTGCCAGTCGGCTCAATGACCTAGCTGTTAAGCGTTGGCGCGCGAGACCGATAGGTCGTGGGTTGGGATCTCGCTAGGCGGCGGGATCGTGGATGCGCAATGCTGTGGTGTACCATACTAGGACGAAACGGCCATCCAGTGCTTCCAGGTTTCCTATGGTTGTCTATCTTCAATTGACTCGTAAATTCAACTATTAAATTATCCATTCTGCTGACCGGTAATTTTAGTTAAACAGAAGCAGAAAATATGTTCTCTAAATAAGTAGTATATAAATAATTTATAAAAATAAAAAGTAAATATAATTGTTTACAAAATAATAATATGATATTGCTTAATATAAAACGTTTCACATTATAAAAAGATACAAGACAAACATGAAATGATCCTATTCACTCATAGATTACTGTCCTCCTCTGATATCCCACTTATATTACCATTCCAAATATTAGAACAATCTTTTGTATTTGAAGTATTAAGGCATTTTAACAATGATAAATAGCTTAAGAAATTTGTAAGTAACTTTAAATATTCAAAGTACGTTTCATTTGTAAGGTTGTCTTGTTTTATCGTTTGTGTAGTTGGGATCGCATATGAAGAGATTGATTGTTGTTGTACGGTGTTAACATTTGATAATGGTGATGATGATGATGATAATAAGGTATTTGGATTGATCAATCCTTGTTGTAATGAAATTAAAAAATCATTCAAAGAATTCGAAGGAAGATTTAACCATTTAAAGGCGGATGAAGTGAAACATGAAAAAGGATAATTAGTAGAAGAACTATGTAAAGTCGATGATGTTGTTGAACATAAAGAACTTGATGTATTTGATGTATAAAAAGGATATTTCATCTGTTTCATAGAATAATCAAGAATTTCATTAGAACATTTCGATGGATCGTTTTGATTATCAATAGTAAACGTATTGATTTTATCTAAATCATTGACATTATTATTCATTCTATTTCGTTGATTATAATTCCAATTATGATCCATTGAATGAATTTCAATAAAACGAAATTTCAATGGTTTTCTATTACGATCAGCACATTCATTGAGTAGTCGTTCACATGTTTGATGAAGTAAATCTAATGGGTTTTTTGGTGACTAAAATAAAGAATAAAGAATAGGGAATTGAATTTGTAATTGTTATAACTTGTGTCCAGAAATAGATCCCAACATTTACCATTCATTATTCTCATCGGGTTATAACAGTAATAATATGTAACTGAATTCTATATACAGAATCCAGTCCCATTTGTTTTATGAGTGTTAACAATATTTCAGGTGTTTCTTAACTTCGATGATGAGATCAAGTTCTAACCACAAACGATCCAGTGTTTAAATAATTTAGGTAGATTAGGCTCGTATAGAGTGATCAATACAATGAAAATGTATTCAATATTGTTTTGATCATATCGATTAGAGAATGTTACAAACTATTGATTGTTTTCTTCAATCTAATGGTCCAAGGTACTATCGAACCTGATTTTTTTTCTATTCTTTATATACGATGATAATGTTTACTCGAATCTAAGTATTATTAGTATGAGAAGAATATTACAGTTTCAATGAATATCTTTTCTTACATCATCTCTATTACAACTTAATACCCACTTTGAGAGAGATACCATATGTAATGTTTTGAAATTGTTTGTTTAACGCGAAAATGTCGATATATTGATGTTTAAAAGCAATTAATCCCATTGATAAATCTTGATAGTGTAATAGGAAGATGAAGATTATAAGGACTATGTGATGATAAGATGGATAGTGGCTAGAAGTGGACTCCAGGACGCGCGTTTTGTCCTATTTGGGACTCGTCAACTGGATGTACTTGCATCTCACAGTTGATATTTACCACGGGAGTGGAAATCAGTACCGTTCGATTCAAACGCTGTAACGTTATCCACTTAGCTACTGAGTCTCGGTAGCCACTTGTTTGTGCAATGGGGTAAAGTTTAAAGTCACTTGATATTATTTACTTGAATCTTCCCATTAATGTTTAGGACTGCTATTCACTGGCTATTCAGGACTCAGTAGCTAAGTGAATAACGCGATGGTATTTGAAGTGAACAGTACTGGATTCGACTCTCATAGTGAACATCAATTGTGAGATGCAGGTACATCCAGTTGACGAGTTCCAAATGGAACGAAACGCGAGTCCTCCATTCCACTGCTAGACACTATCCATCTTTGCTTATAATGCTTGTAAATTAAGGCAATATAGAGGTAATACTCGCACGATGCACATATGCCAATAAGAGAGAGACTAATCAATTACAGTCCTACATATCAATGGGAAGATTCAAGTAAACAATAATACCAAATGAATTTATGTGATAATATATTAATGCAATATATTTCGAACAATCTGATCACACATATAATATACTTGTTAAGAACATTTATATCTGAAGAATAAAAGGTCAACTAGACCAGAAATGGAGGGTACGAGGAGGCAAGGATAATAAAGGAAATAATAAATGTGAAAACAATTTGAAACATCATCATTCTGGTTAATAAGAAAATATTACCGGGGTAGGTTTAAAGTGAGAACAAACTGTTTTCGAATATGGAAATTCAAACCCCCTCTGTTGTTCTTCCTTTTGGAACCTATCCTATGAGAATCCGTTTCACCCCACGCATGATTAATTTCATGACTTCTAATTAGAGGTTCGTAGACATTCTAGTTTGAGCCATCAATAGTTACCATAAAAGATTTAAATTTAAAAAGGATTACAACTTAATGTTACCACGGTAGGTTTAAGGTGAGAATAAACTGTTTTTGAATACACAAAGAGGGTTACAATTTTCGTATTGCTAAGGCTACAATAAACCTTAGTATATGCTCTTTTGCACTTTTGTACAACATCACAAAAGCCGAGTTAAGATAAATTTTATGACCTGTTTGGATGATGTGTTTGGCAATAGAGGATCGTTTAATTCTATTTGTTTCTGCAGCCATTTAGGTACATGTTCACACCCTCCAAGTTAGAGATCACGATTATTTCCCCTTTTGTATGTGTGAACACACACACACACATTTAAATTGATAAACACAGTGAGATGTGACACAATCCTTTTCTTATCTTTTAGGTCTTCGAGGAAGTATTGGACCTTTGCTGCACAATATATAACATAGTTCTGGTAATCTTCGTCTTCTAAATACACTATTTATATTTTCCTTTGATTTTATAATCATTTTAATATTACAGTCATGAGTTTTTATATTTCTTTTAATTGGAAAAATGGCTTACAAATCTTTGTATTTCATTAAGCTACTGAATTATTATGTACGTGTACACTTGAGTTGATCATACGGTAGTCATTCAGTTTAACGTTTTTTTTTAATATCACAGGGGATTTTTGTGGATATTGCAGTAATTTCAATACTTGAATTTATGAGTCAATTGAAGCTAGACCACCATGGAAAATCTGATAGCAGTGGACGGCCATTTCATTCTATGATGGGACTCCTTAACAGTACACATCCACGATCTCGCTGCCTCTCAAGATTCGAACCCAGAACCTATCTGTTTTTCTTTACCACGAAACAGTCAATCTTGTACACGGTTATATTTACTATGTACAGCTTATTATATTTTATTATTTCATTATATATATATATATATATATATATATATATATATATATATATATATATATATATATATATATATATATATATATCATTAACTAACCAAGCTTAAGAAAACAGAAAGTTTATTTGGATTATCAAGAAAGTAACGGTTGATATACTTCAAAGATGAAATAAAACAAAACTAACCGCTTCACTTTTGAAGATAAAAGAAAAGTCCCGTTATTTATGTCACTGATATAACTATTATAACTTAAAAATTTTTCAGTAATAGTAAGTCTAGACTATACTAAGGTCATTCATTGAATATTAGATACTATTATATGGTAGTATTTAACATTCTATACTTCTTGTATACCGAAGTGGAATCAATGCATTAATGTATTTGAATGTTAAAGTGATGAGATTTATGAAATAAAACCACGGTTGTGTAGTTGTAATTGACTCATGAAATCCACTATTAAATTACTATAATATTCACAAAAAGAACTCTCTGAATATAATCATCATATGTTCATTGGTGACTGGCTTCAAGCGATATTTCCAGGAGTTCTAGTGAGAAGCAGTGACCAGTTATGTTCAATCGGGTCTGTTGTGAGATAGTGACTCAGTGAACACAATCGTGAATGTGTCACTGATTTCGTGGATTAGTTGAAGGTAGACATTAAGAGAGTTGGATGCCGGCCGGTTCAGTGGTTTAGTTGTTAGGCACTCGCACGCGAGACTGATAGGTTCTGTGTTCGAATCTCGAGAGGCGGAAGGATGGTGGATGCGTACTTCTGAGGAGTCTTACTATAAGACGAGAAGGCCATCCAGTGCTTGCAGGTTTTCAATGGTGGTTTATCTTCAGGTTTTCAATGGTTGTCTAACATCATTCGGTTCATGAGCTCAATCGATATATAATTAGTTCCTCTTTTCCTACCGATAATAATAATAATAATTAGTGTTATAATCTATCTTCTATTGTTTAATTAAGTCTATTTTTCATGAGGATATCATAATTGTACCTAATAAATTTGCTGAGATTTTTCGTATTCACCATATTCAATGTCGTTGTAGAAAAAGTAACAGTTAACTTCCATTCTTATCATCAAAATCCATTTTTCTTTCACCTAAACTACAGTAATAATAATAATAATAATAATAATAATAATAATGCTAAATCCAGTAACTCCTCTTCTTTTTTATATTTTATGGTGTGATCACAAGAGATAGTTTAAGGTCATAATTATCTAAATGTATTCATACACGTACATACATAACATTGAAATGACCAAGTTGTCATGATCATCATCATCATCATCATCATCATCATCATCATCATCACCATCATCATTAGCGTAGACCATTAATAATTAAGATTTGTTATGATTTATTATAAAGTCATCATGTCATGTTCATTATTACTATGATTGTTGAAAAAAACAAATAATAGCTGACTTTATCATCATAGAGGTCAGCATTAAGGTATCATGCTGGTGTGATTTAGTCATATCAAAATATTAATGTACAGGTTATCTTTCTTCTACAAAAACACTATTAATTAGTAAACAGTACAAAAAAATAATTTAATAGAATTATTCAAAAGTGTACACTGTAATGAATAAAGAATAGTACTACATCATTATGGAGCAATCAATTGAATGGAATTCATCACTCTGACTACGAAAAAGCATTTGATAGCGTGGACAGAACAATACTATAGAGGCTTCTTCGACACTACGGTGTACCTGAGAAGGTAGTCAATATCATACAGAATTCCTATGATGGATAAAACTGTGAAATTGTGCATGAAGGACAGTTGACAGACTCGTTCGAATTCAAGATCGGTGTCAGGCAAGGTTACTTACTCTCACCCTTTCACTTTCTAATGGTGATCGACTGGATCATGAAGAAGTCGACAGCTGGGGGGAATCATGGGATGCAGCTGGACGATCTAGACTTCGCAGATGATCTAAGTCTTCTATCGCACACGTACCAAAAAATGCAGGAGAAGACCAGTGTAGCAGCGGCCTCAGTAGCTGTAGGTCTGAACATACATAAAGGGAAAAGCAAGATTCCCTAATACGACACAACACACACCAATCAAATCACAATTGACGGAGAACATTTGGAAGATGTAAAAACCTCAACATATCTGGCCAGTATCATTGATGAACACCGTGGATCTAATGCAGATGTAAAGGTGTGGATCGGGAAAGCAAGAGCAGTAGATCTACAATTGAACTCAAAGCAACTGTCTTTGAATCAACACCAAGGTCCGAATTTTCAATACAAATGTCAAGGCAGCTCGACTGTATGGGGTGAGAACTTGGAGAAATACAAAAATCATCATCTAGAAGATACAAGTGTTCATTAACAGTTGTCTAGGCAAAATATTTCGGATCTGTTGGCCAGACACTATCAGCAACAACCTACTGTGGGTGAGAACAAACGAGATCGCGGAGGAGAAAGAAATCAAGAAGTGCTGGAAGTGGATAGGACACATATTGAGGAAAGCACCCAACTGAGTCACAAGGCAAGCTCTCCCTTGGAATTCTCAAGGCCAAAGGAGGAGAGGAAGACCAAAGAACATATTACACCGAGAAACGGAGACAGACATGAGAAGAATGAACGACAATTTGATAGAGCTATAAATGGAGACCAAAGACAGAGTGGGTTAGAGAATGCTGTTCGGAGGCCTATGTTCCATTATAAGTAACAGGTGCAAGTAAGTAAGTAACTGCATAATTGAAGAAAACCACCCATTTAGTGATGTTTGAAACTATTAAGTAGTTTAGAGATTTAGGTCTCCTTTAAAAAAAAATTATAAGAAATACTATAATGTTTTTTCAATGAACTAGCTTATATATATATATATATATATATATATATATATATATATATATATATATATATATATATGACTATTGAGTTTACAATTGATTAATTACTGAGTAATGACCAGTGCCATGTTTTCTTCAAGCTCTTCTTAGCGCTGATAGAATTTTATCGATCGTTTTATTGTGATCACTAGTCTAAGTGATTTGGCATTGCGCGCAGTATATTAACATGTAAGGTAGTTGTTAGAGGAAGTTGACAAGGAACTATAAATCTAAATCTCTTACTGTTTGACATTCGTCAACAACTTATACCTATAAACTTGAAGGAATCGAGGAATTTCAACTGTCACATTTAAAGTAAACAGATATCTAAACTGAATAAAATGTTACGTTGAGAATAAGAATAATGTAAAAAATATGTGACACTTGTAATAATAGAAATAATTTCATGGAATGTTACATTGAATTAAAGAAAAATCCTAGAATTTACTGTCTTTTCCCGACTTATCATTCTGGATCAATCCTAAAGATAAACAACACATGTAAGTAAGTGGTTATTGGTTTATTGAGTTCCAAATATGATAATGATGTTTATATCGGTTAAGTAAGAAGATTTAAGAAAGAACCATTGAAGGGAGCACAATAATATTCTGCCAACATTTTACAATCTTTCTATTCAGTAGTTGAGATTATGAGTCAATTAATTGAAGTTAGACCATCACGGAAAACCTGCAAGCACTGGATGGCCTTCTCGTCTTATAGTAAGACTCCTCAGAAGTACGCATCCACCATCCTTCCGCCTCTCGAGATTCGAACACAGAACCTATCAGTCTCGCGTGCGAGTGCCTAACAACTAAACCACTGAACCGGCCGGCATCCAACTCTCTTAATGTCTACCTTCAACTAATCCACGAAATCAGTGACACATTCACGATTGTGTTCACTGAGTCACTATCTCACAACAGGCCCGATTGAACATAACTGGTCACTGCTTCTCACTAGAACTCCTGGAAATATCTCTTGAAGCCAGTCACTAGTGGGCATCTTTGAATGCTGGCTCAGTGGTCTAATTGATAAGCGTTCGTGCACGAGACTGATAGGTCCTGAGTTCAAATTTCGCGAGGCGGCGGGATCGTGGATCTGCACTGACAAGGAGAAGTCCCATACTAGGATGAAACGGCCGTCCAGTGCCCACAGGTTCTCCATGGTGTTCTATCTTCAATTGATTCATGAATTCAACTATAAAATTACTAAAATCTTCACAAAACTCCTCCTGTTTATATTTTGAGCTGACAGATGTTGATTAAAATAATCATTTCAAATGTATGGTACTTAACATTCACTAACTGAAATCAACCAGGAAGTAACCTATTAATACACAAAACTACATACTGGACAGCATTGATCGGAGATACAAATCTCCATATAGCACATTATATACAATCTATTCATGTTACAAAATAATAAGTCATACCTGATATTAAAAAAAACAATTTAACACGGCATTATTCTATTATGAAATCTTCATTTCAATTTATAGAAAGTATTCGATTCAACGGAGAACATAATTTAGTCTAAGCTGGATAAAGCATATGGCATAAAGTGGAACAGTAATGATTATTATTCTTAGGTAGTTAATCAATGATTGATAATAAAAGAATACGTACAAATAGTAGTTTTAATAGTTAGTAGACTTTACATAAACTACCTCCCCAGGATCTATATGCATTTATCCAAGGAGTTTTGTACATTTATCGACTACACCTTAACTCATTTCCAAATACTTGTTATGGAAGTACTAACAAAGAACCTATTCTAATAGCGTCAGTATAAAAAGATAACTATTTTTAATGTAGTCATTAGTTAATTGAGTAAATAAGATCAATAATTATGTTCATCAAAGAAATGAATCCAGTAACGTGGTATCCTGTCTATATTTTATTAATTATGGTTATAATCAGAGAAGGGTTTTGTAGATATTATAGTAATTTAATAGTTGAAATCATGAGTCAGTTGAGGCTAGACTACCATGGAAAACCTGGAAGCACTGGACGGCCTTTTCCTCCTGGTATGGCACTCTTCAGCATTGCGCATCCACAATTATAGTTATGTAACCTTTGATTGCCTGTTCATTATCATTTGTATGATTTAATATATCACTAATGTCTTTGTGATATTCTATAAAGTATGCCATTTCAAACTTCTTTCCTTAAAGAAAGATATATGAAAGGCCTAGTGTGATACTCAGTGGTCTAAGCTATTTGTAAATCCCTCTCTCTTTAAGTATTCACATTATAATCCAGAAACGCTCTCATAAAAATTAGAGTATGGTAACTTTTTCTCTTTTTTTATTCTCCACTAGAATGAAGGATGATACAATGAAACAATACAATAAGTCACTGTGTCCTAATCATTTCATAACTCTGCACAAAAATACCAATGAACCTTTCAAAATTATTTATTATCAACAAGTCTGAATAGTTCCAGATCATATTTTATCTGATCACTTTGTCATTCACCATTCTAGAGATCATCTCTTATACGGCAAGGTGGAAAAGAGAAATGGTTGCTATGATTCAGTAGATCAGTCAGTGACAAAACAGTCCTCGGGTAAGTGGGTAAGGTTTTTGCCTCGATTTAAACTAGGTTGATAGATTTATGCAAAAATTTTAAAATATCAGAATATAGCCAGTGTTTCAATATTAATTAATAATAACATACTATTGGTTTTATGAAATATTTCAATATAACGTGGATAGATCAACTTATCATTAATGCATTTCAATGGTTGAACAGAAATACTGATATAATCTTTGAGATCATTACCTTTATAGATGTTAAGATCTTTAACTTCTCAATGCGCATTGTTGAGGAGTCCCACAATAGGACGAAACGGCCATGCACTTGTTTTCAAGTTTTCCATGGTAGTCTAGCTTCAATTAACTCATGAACTCAACTATTGAAATTATTATAATATCTACAAAACCCCAGTTTGATTATTCTCAATGGTTATTTACATTTTTAAAAGTCAATGACAATACGTACCTTCATATTAAGTACTTAGTTATCTATACATTAACAATTCAAAGTTAATTTTATAGGCTAAACATTCGACTTTTATTTATTTAACCCTAAGCAAGAAAAAAGTACCTGATATTCTTATGTTGATTTAGTAAAATACTATTTCTAGCATCTGTTAAGCAAAAGATTACAAATTTGAAAACTGTTTTCAAGGTTACCTTCTAAAAATCTATCAGAAATCAGAATATTGTGGGTAGGTAAGTGGATAACGCGATGGAGTTTGAAAGAAAGGGTACTGAGTTCGAGTCTCAGAGTGAACATAAACTCTGACATGCGGGTACACCCAACTGATGAGTCCCAGATAGGAAGAAACGCGCGTCCTAGATTCCACTGTTAGATCATATGAACATTCGTATTTCTAGAGATCACTCAATAATACACGTCTACTGTTCTTTGTTACCTTCAACCAATAATACTTTTGAAATATTTACAGAGGAGGACATAAC